GTGCTTAAAAATGCCAGGAACACAGAATAGAAAAACATTTCCCAAACAGGGTACCTACCTGACATCATTATCAGTTTTGTTTTGTCGAATGGATGGATGGACCCATAACGGTAATAAGCTACGTAGCTCAGACTTATGTGCCCATGATTCAGTTTTCTTGATTTATAAAAGATGTCTGCTTCCGCCTATTTATTATAAAAATCGTCAGCAATGTGAACTTTTTAGGTTGAACTTTGACGTTGTCCAACAGTACTGGCGATTTGCGCATTCACATGATATCTTCGAGTTGCAGGAAATGTTGCAGTCCTATGTGTGCGCCAATTTTCAGGAGTTTATTGGTACTCCAGCCTTTCTGGCTCTTACAGCGACCGAATTGGAAGACTTTCTAGTCCGAGATGACCTATCTGTCCCCAGCGAGAATGATATCTTCCGGGCCATCGTCAGCTGGGTGGACAATAAGGGAGCTCATCGACCTTCGTCGATGCGAAAAATTGCCAGTAATGGACGTGTCGAGGTGTTTTCAAGACTTTTTACTCGGCTTCGTGTTTCTAAGCTTTCGGAGGACTTCAGGGAGCAGATATTGTCTCATCCCCTCTGCAGGACTCATTTGGATTGCGCGTAGGTTTTTATTTTGACTTGATTTGGTCCATTTTCTACTCCTGGGTTGATTTTCTAGAGATGTTAGCATCATTCAGACCCAAACAAAATTTAAACAACCTCAACAAAAGCTCCCTATTCATCAGCAACAAAAACAGTAGGGTGAGGCGTAACTGTAAATAAAATCAGATTTATAATCTAGCCAATGGTTTTCTCGTTCTCACTTGCAAGCGGTCGTTAGTGAAATAAGATCTGTTTCCTTCTTCATTGGCTTTCAATCCTTTTCCTTCAGTAAGTGTGAACGGGTGGTTCATTTTTCAGTAGTATTTTTTCAAAAAACGCCATCCGGTTTGGCTTTAAGCCTTGAGTATTTTGAATAGGTAAAGTTTAAAAGAGTGTAACAATTCAGTTCAGTTTTATTAATGGATAGGTAGACGAAAGCCTTTGAGTTCCCTATTGGTTAAAAAGTAGCTGAGCAATGCATCGATACAGAATGAAAATTCAAAATGTGTTTACCTGATTGCAGTCGAAGAGCCAACAGCCATCGGCTACTCGAAAAGGGTAAACATAAAAGACTACTAGTTTGTTATCAGGTAATTCTACTCCGATCTGTTTCAAGATGTACCCATCTTGGATCATTGTGCGATAGCGAGTTAATTGGAACCCCAATTGTATATGTTACTCGCTAACTATTAGTAACAATGAAATTTTACCGAGATATGGTGATATGGACCGAGATACGGATATATCGTGATATGGTCAGTGTTGTCGGTAAAATTTCATTGATATTACTACTTTGTTACAAGTAGCACGAGTGCGTGTAATTGGGTATGTTTACATAGGTTAGCATGTAGCTGCTAAAACTTGGTGCATGTCGAGTATACTCTTAAATGAATTCACACAGGCGAAGAGAACAAAATCTCCGGACAGAGCGTTCCACGCTGCACTAATTTTTGCTATTGAAGAAGAACGTGTGTCTATGGGTTCTTGCTTGGCCTGCGCGTCGTTTTAGGGGATGACCATTCAAAGTGGATGTCTTAGCCTGAGTGAAAGCAAAATGATTAGGAACGAAGTAGCAGTCTAGGCCATTCATAATGTTGAAGGTTAATATGAGATCCCCTCGTAATTGCCTGTTGAAAAGGCGAAATATGTTGAGGGGTGACAGTCTGTTTTCAGAGGGCAATGTTCCCAAACCTGTGGTCGTTTTTTTTGCCTGCCCTTGGACTTTCTTTAAGATGGTACAGTAATGGTATATTCAGTCGCAGTACCCATTTAAGCATTTACGAAGTCACGTTTGACAGACGCATGCGCTCATCAAACTGGTGTCATTCTGCTTAATAAAATAGTTTACATTGCGATTATCGTATCAATCCTGGCTATTGGCAATATGTTCAGGGGAGAGAGACAGGCAAAATAACGACCAAACTGAGGAAGTGGAATGTAAACTCACAAAATTTCTTCGGAAACTGAAAGACCAAGATTTCTTCAGTGAACAGGAGTTCGAAGTTCTTAAATCCATTGGTATATTCCCCCTCCAAAGCTGTATGTTTTCCCAAAGACTCGTAACCCAAACCTTCAAATACGTCTGATCTTAGATAGGTGTACTTCACCCTACCCCACAATTACAAAGTGGCTGGCGGAAAACCTGAAGCCGATTGGCTAAAAATTAGCACCACATAGCCTACGCGACACGGTTGCATTAATCGATGCCATAGTAACTATGAATTTTAATAGGAGAACGATATTGTCGTAAGATGCCGCGTCTTTGTTCATTAATAGGTCCCTCACGGAAACGATATAATTTTTATGTGACGAGATTCTAAGGCAAGATTTCCCAGTCGGCATTTTGGTTGAAGGCCTAAAGACATCGCTTTTTCACCGCACACGAAATATGGAATTCAGGTTTGGTGGCCAATTTTACTTCCATATCAGATAAGCACTGAGACCTCTATGAGTTGATGTCTTCAGGGGAAAACAAGAGAAAAGCCAGCCCTGTTCAGTTATACAGGATCTTTATTCCTAATCTCGATGTGCAGGTAAAATGTTTGCAATAGCCGATGATAAACTTGATGCGAGCACTCTCCTGGGTAAAGTGAATTAAGCCCACCCAGCGTTAACCTTCACGCTGGAAAACGAGAACTGAAAGTGCCTTCCCTTCCTGGACGTCCTACTTAATCAAACATCTGATGGAGCAGTTCTTAGGAGTGTAGTTTTTTTTTTTTTTGAAGAAGAAGAAGAAGAATGCTATATTGAGGATTTTACAAACCTGAA